CAGCTAGAGGCGCCGGCTGACAGGATTCATTTTTGCCGAACGCGTCAAAATAGACGGAGTTGACAATGAGCAAGCAGTAAAGGAAAAACTCCTGGTCATAATTTCACGTATCGTTAGTGATACATCATCTTTGAACTTCAAGCCAGATTTAATGGGCAGGTTGTCCGCTCGACTTAAAGCATCCGCGCCCAAGTACCGCTGGAGCCTAGGAAATTTCGACCTGCTAGATCCGAGGAAAAAGCCTTCACTCGGGCATGGGAACGCGCGCAAAAGGGACAGAACGGCCGGATGTTGCTTATCAAGCTCGAAAGTAGTTTCCGACAAAAAAGCCAAGGGTTGGCCCTGAGCGTCTCAGGGGGGACCGACAGTTTTTAGAGGATTGTAGAATCTACCTACTAAAGTCCTTCGAGGAGGATGTCATTGTGATTCAGATTTTTGGTAAGATCAAGATTGGAATATGAACTGTGAGCCAGATTGGGTGGACGGGTCGTCAACGGCTTGCTGCTGATGTATTGATCAGTCGGCAAGGCAACTAAACGCAGAAGCGGTCACCCTCCTCTCCTCCCACCCACGTAAATCATTGCTATCGCGGATTACTTTGGCTAATTCAGACCCCAGTGGTCCTAGAATCTACTCTGGATTCCTTTTGATTGAGCTCTTTTCCAACCAACGTTGTTACAATTTTGTCAAGCGCCTTAAAGGAGCTATTGTTGAAGGATCAGCTCACAACGACCTGGACGAGCAAGTGTATGGTTTTTAAATCAAGCTTTCCATTTAGGCGCAGCAAGCTCAGTCAAAACATTCTTCCATCTACTTAACAAACTACAGACTGCAATTATTACCATTAGCTGCTGAGGTTTTTTTCACGCGGCTAGGTTTGTAGTGAAAGTTCCATTCCGAGGGATTTACTCCAAATTAGCGCATCAGCTTCCGAGATTAAAAGCTGAAATTTAAAAACTTGAGTACTTCCCAGAAGGCACATGGGAACGTCGGGGAACTTATCCATGAGCCGAATCTCTCGCAACTCTGTCATTCAGCAATAGAATTTCGCTGAAACATGTCTGGACTTCTAACAAATGCCTGTGCTGTTAGAGAGAGAGAGGGAGAGAGAGAGAGAGAGAGAGAGAGAGAGAGAGAGAGAGAGAGAGAGGAAAACACGCCAAGTGCCCATAGTGAAAGGCCGGGTTATTGCTTTAGGGAATGACGTCCAATTTTAGTATAAGTAGTATACAGTTACGGCTGGACGGTGTGTCTTGTTGCCGAAGACACTCGGGGACACTGCCATCAGCTGTCTGTAGTCTCTTTACCTGTAACCGTATTGTCCGGTTTTAGGTTGGCTAGATTTGACGGAAATTTGGGCTCCAGCGCATTACCTCACAGTTTATCGTTTTTGTAGCTCACTGTACTCCTTTTCTATCTTTTAAGCTATGATCTATGATTCTATTTGTGTGGTGGGGGTGAATGCACAATACTGAGCTCGATAGAAGACTACTTAAAGGACCTAAATACCACATATTTTCGAATCTATCTGGCTGTCTTTTGTCCGATAAGAGATTCGAACCGATTAAACCACACATTCATACGCATCCTTATCACCAAGTTTTATACAACGACCCATCTGAACCGCCAACCTGAGTTCCATAACCGCTTCATTATTCGTCAGTTTTTGTAAGACTGCACTGAATACCTATTCACTGGAAGGAATTACCACACATGTGTGTTTGTTTATGTTTGGTGACTGCTGTGTTATCATCTGGTTGTAGGGCCCGTCAGATGTGAAAAACCAAAAGAAGCTATGAGGTCCGTTAGGTGAAAATTTCAAAAACACGAGGGTCACCACCGCCACTTTCACTTACAACTGACATAGTTCAAGCCTCAGGTGGGACCGTCGTGAGATTAAAGATGAAGGCCTCAGCCCAGGGATTCGTTTTGAATTCTCTGCAGAGAGGATCCTAGTGATCATAATCTTTCCGGTCATTTTCAACTTATCTGCCTGCAGTATTCGATTCAGCAACATTTTGAACCACTTGTGTGTCTGCTATTGGATTTTACCAGTGCTACACTATTGTTTCTGCATTTTTTTTAAGAATGCACGCAGGTACAAGACTCTCAGCAGAATGTGGCGGTCGACAGAGGTACGTTTTTCACTGGAGAACTGCCTGATCTTCCTGCTAATGTCACAAATGGGATCTAGCTGAACAATATGTGTTGCTACAATAATCTGGCAAAGACAAAAATATTCGGAATGTCCATTCATCAGCCTTTCTTCATCCATATCATTTACGAGGCTCAAATCCAGCCCACCCTTTGGATACGTATCTGGTGTACGTGAACTTGGGAGATTTGATGATCCAATCGTCCCACTTAAATTATTGTCCACTTCAAAATGGAAGCGCGAAGCTGTGGTCAAGCACGCGAATTTTAATAAACATACAGTTAGGCTGACACTTCACGTCCGGTTTGTTGCTTCCCTTGCAAATATCGGTTCCGAAGGTATTCTTTCCGAAATACCTTATTCCATGCATAATGTTACACGCGTAAATGATTCTCTCATCGTCCAGTTGAATATCCGGAGCCTGCTGACTTTTTCATGCCTTTTACTGTCCGATGCACCTTCTTCGTACAAAGTAGCCTCAGGGGCACCTAGTACATATCCAAACCGCGTACCTTCCTAGTTAGAGTAAGACATATTTCAGAGGTCCAGAGCGTCATTAAAAAGTTGTGACTACAAGTGTGTTCGTATTGTAACGCAGATGGATCCAGGTGGGATTATAGGTTGAAATGAAACACTGGAAACTACTGATATCTTTGCTCGCGGAATTTTCACAAAATATTTTCTAAGTTGTCTGGGTATATGTAAGAATATAATGAAACATTCTCTGTTGTCTTATGTCATTTTACTGATGGAAACTTGTTCTTCATACTATTTTTCTAGTCGCTGATTATGGGGGATGTTTCATCTACCATTTTTTTCAACAGCTTTTACCGACATGCGTGTGTTTATGGCAATCAGAGCGGCATTTTCTACTTAATCACTTTTTGCTGCTTTCAGGCGTTGTCTAGAAGAAGATTCGGAATTTAAACATACATTCAAGTCGCTTGCCTACCGCAGGATTGTCCAATGCCAGAGAGGTCATTCCACTGTGATAACCCGATGGGAACTTCCTTCAAATACTTTCGTCGAATAAAACAACAACAACAAACGCACGTTTTTTGCATGACATGGACTCTTACTCCAAAAACAAGGGACAAATACTGGACATACTCTCTTAAGAAATGACTGTAAACTTTTTCCAATATTTCTCCTTTTCGTAATTGGGATTAGAATGCTTACTTTTTCAGTAGCTTAGAAGTTAAAGTTGTAAACAGTAGTACCTGTGCTGCATGACCCAAAGGATTCTGTCTGAAGGTTCGGTGATTACCACGCCCTAGAAAAGATATTCTCGTGGGTGGGCTGATCATCAACTGTGGCGTTTAGCAGGCAGGCGAGGGCCCATAGATTCCTGGACACAATGAACAATTATCGGACGTTGTCGTTCTAAGTATACCTTAGAGTTAGCCGTCCTTTGTGTACATTACAGATCGCAAGCCTGTGCTGATAAACTCTCATCCTGAGGAGCGTTACTTCAGTAAATTTGGTTCCTATAGCATTCAGTCAGAAAACGAAAACACTTGTGTATCTATAAACTCAGACCTTACTACTCAGGGTGCAAAGGCAAAAAACAAATTAAAATTGCTTTCAGATCAGATCAGATCAGATTTATTAAGGGAAAAGTAGGCGAACGCCTTTGAACTCCCTTTTGGTTACAATAACGTCATAAAAAAACAATGTGTAAGGCAAGTGTGAAAAAAATTAGGTAAGTAATTACATACAACAAGCATTGGTCACTGGTATGAATTTGTCTGTGAATGCCTCCTGTGTCAAGATTGTACAAGATCCAGTACGGCAATGAATGGACCAAGTAATATCAAAGCAAGCGCATATGTGGCGGCCAGGAGATAGCGAAAATTGTAAAACGTAATGTTACTAAAATATAGGGAGTAGCATGCTTTGTAACATAAAACGTTGGATGGGACGGGTGGCACATGGGGGGGGTTCGTTAGTTTCTGATGCTGTGGAGGTACATATCCCTGTACTGGTCAAGCTTTCTCTTAAATGAGTCCACGGATGAGGACATGACGACATCCACAGGTAGGGCGTTCCATGCCTTTACCACTCTGTGGCTGAAGAAGGACCTTCTTGCGTCCAGTCTCGCTCCTGTCACACGTAGTTTCAGAGGGTGTCCTCTCAAGCTAGTAGTGGTGGCCAGCTCAAAGAAGTCGCCGGATGCGAGGCAGCAGTCCTGACCCCGTAACATTCTAAACGTTTAAATTAAGTCGCCACGGAGTTGTCTGTAGTCCAGGGGAAAGAGGTTTAGATTTGAAAGTCTGGTTTCGTAAGGTAGGTTTTTATGACCTCTGACAAGCTTGGTTGCCCGTCGTTGGACTTTTTCGAGGGTGGTACGATCCTTAACAGTCCAGGGTCTCCAGGCCTGAATGGCAAATTCTAACTGTGGGCGCACAAACATCCCGAAGACCTTGCGGAAGCACTCTTCATCGAACTTGGCAAATGCCCGCTTGATGAGATAAAAGCTGGACATTGCGGATTTCGCTGCTTTCAAGCAGTGGAATGATGGCTTTAGTGAAGATGTTATCCACACCCCTAGGTCTTTCTGAACGTCTACCAGTGGCAGCGGTGTGTGATTTAGATAGTACGTCTGTCGGTGCGCAGAACTGGTTCTGCCAATCCTCA